CTCTTCCTCTCTCTACTCTCCTCTCTTCTCTCTCCATCTCTCTCATCATCATCATCTCTCCTCTTCTCTCTCTCTTCCTTCTCTCTCTCTCGTCCCTCTTCCTCCTACTTCAATCTTCTGCTCTCCTCTCTCGCTTCTCTCTCTCTACATCTCTCTCTTCTCTCTCTTCTACTCTACATCTCCTCTCTCTCTTCTCTCTCTCTCTCCTCTCTCTAATCTCTCTTCTCTCTCTCTCTCTCTCTCTCTCTTCTCTCTCTCTCTCTTCTCTCTCTCTCTCTCTCTCTCTCTCTCTCATCTCTCTCCTCTCTCTCTCTCTCTCTCTCTCTCTTCTCTCTCTCTCTCTCTCTCTCTCTCTCTCTCTCTCTCTCTCTCTCTCTCTCTCCTCTCTCTGCTCCCGATCTCTCTCTCTCTCTCATCTCCTCTCTCTACTCTCTCCTCTTCTCTCCACCACACCCTTCATTCCTCCCTTCCCCCACCCCTATCTCCTCTTGAGTTGGGACAACATATTGGTGGAGTGTGAATAACATTAGCGATGTCCAAAGACTGGTTGCTTCAAGTGGGAGGGTAGCTTGGTAACCTTGACGTTAATGTTACCACGTGCTCCGTCTCTCCCACCAAAACTGCACCACCTGGCCCGGGGCGACAATAAACTGTGTTGATTTGGTAACACTTGGGGAATAAATGCGCATGACTCTGTGTTTATTTTTTTGCTATGATGAATATTGTCATCGCGGTTTCGTATTATGTCGCAGTGCTTTCGTTTGAGGGCTTTCTATCTATGCGGGCCAGATAAGTTGGTTTTGCCGAACGATAACAGTGGTAGTTTATGCGTTGGTTTATGTATATTCAGTTGCGTGCACTCGCCTCGAACAAGTGCATGCATACGAAGAATTCTGGTGTGGCGAGGCGATGAGTAGTCACAGCCTTGCATACCATTATCCTCTTTTGTGTCTTGTATGATTTGATAAATAGGCTGCTCCTGTATTGATGCTGCACAGCTGGTGCGAGTTAGTTTTCTAAGACATCATCCATTAGATTGGCGCAGGTTGAATGAACTAGCACACTACTCGATTCCTGAACATCTCATTTAGATCTGTCAACCGGAAGTGTCTTTTTTTTTTTTGTTTATTTTCTTTTTTTTTAAGGAGCGAGTCGCTGGGAATAAAGAATTGCATTTTAAACCCAATCAATTGAGAGAAGAAGAGGCAAAAAGCAAACACGAAAGATCAATTACCACCGCTAAGGACCTGTCGTGCTCACCCGAGGGAGTTCCCCGTCACGGCACGGCCTGTACAGCCCTGTCACAAAGCTCCCCGAAATGTCACGGAGGGGACCTGCTAATGGACGAGAGCGGCCCTCAGTGCGAATCCTATCGGACATGTCTAGCAAGGGAAGATGGATGAGTGGATGAGGCCGGACAGACGGTACTGCCTACAAATGGACGATTACCTGCGCTACGTCTACTGAGTACCGTTTGTGAGGGCCAGGTGAGGGGGGTATGTGCTAGAATTGAAGGTTTCTTGGATTATAAGCAGAAATCATAAAATTGTGTTTATTTTGCTTTGGTAAAGCTATGGTGTGAATAATACCATTTTAGCAATGTTAACTTGCCAGTTGGACAGCATGACGATGATGATAAGTTTTTTTTTTAATAAGATTATGAGGATTTAGGGGTTGGCAGCTTAAGAAAGCTGAGGGTGGCGGGCGTAGCGCAACCTCTCATGCGACCCCGCGAGACCGGCCGTGGCTCCGCCCAGATCCGTCCTAGCCAGGCCCGTGACGATGCACGCAGCCGCCCTGGAAAACGGCCCTATAACCTCAAACTCAAGGATTTTCGCCTGCTTGGGAGGCAAGCTTAGGCGATCGTCTCGATCGGGTCTGGGACTGCACGTCCACGCGAATCCGCCGGGTTCCAATCTCGAGCGCGCCGAAGTTATGAACTTTCCCGACAGAGAAGTTTTCCCCTCGCAGGAAGTTGTAGCTCTTGAAGCGTATTCCGCGGCGGGAAGAACGTAACACCCCAATCCGGCAAAGGGCTCGTCGTTGATTTTCGCGGGGGAGACCCGGCGCGGCAGCATCCACCCGCTGATGTGCGGTAAATCTGTCATCGCGAGGGCCCTGGCTCGCGGCCGGTTGACTCTCTCGGCCCCGTTTGTTAAGGTGCCTGGCGTTATTCCCTTTCTTGAGCATTAAATTTCTGCTCTAAGCTCTCTGTCGTATTTCAAATTCCGCGCCTTATCTATTCTCTTCCATTTACTCTTCTTTTACAGGCCCTCCATATCTGCCCCTCTCCTTATTCTCTCCCAAACCGACCTTCCCTCCCTTAACTATTTTCTTTCTCTTGCGTCTTCGTCCTCCCCTCCCTCTCTCGCTCCCCTCTCCCTTCCCTTTCCCTTTCCCTTGCTTCTCCTCCATCTTTTTATTTTCCGTGCAAGCACAATGACCGCCGGCACATTAGCAACAGCAAATCTAGGAGCAAGGAATAGATAGTTAATTGATTTACGAACATACAAAGGATCTGATTTGATCGCGATTACATCACCGTCCTCAGGGGAAGCTCGCCACATCCCGCGATTAAGCCTTACCTTCATTCTGAAACCTCATATTCTTCACCCTCTTCCTTCACTTTTCACCCCTCGCACTCGCCACAACCACGCCTCACGCTCTTGTATCCGCGAAATCACTCATCCCGGCCAGCCCACTAATGTACGCAACCTTCATTGGTTCTGCTCCACGAACGGCTTGAGTATCTCACCAAGTGACGGTCTCTTTTCTCAGGGCTGTAGCCGCATGTTCACGACACCCATTCCATTTCTGTCCACCCCGTAATTGTGTGTTGCCTTGCCTCAGCCCTCACTCCATGCGGATCCAATAGACCTCACCAAGTTCGCAACCCGCCGTCCGCCACTAATACCCCTGGGAACTCTCCGAGAGGGCGCGGTTGTTCTTGGTTCGGGCGGCGTCGAGTGGGAGGGACTAAGTGGGTCGCTTGCAACTATCGGCATTTCTACATGACGGCAGTGCCTATTCGTCCAGCTCTTCGAAATGAAGATTCCGCGCTCAAAAAGTACATTCTTTTTTTCCACCTCGGACGCCGGGACGTAAAACGTGCCAAAAGTTTTACGCGGTGTTGTTGTTGTTAGGCTTGCTTACTATGAGTGGGCGTAGAGCCCGTGCGGAACAATCGCTCCATGTAACATTCAGCAGCATACATGGGCGTGGGGAACCCGGGCGCCGGAAGCTCTCATTGAGGCTTTGGTCTTTCTCGATTCATGGCCATTTACACTTGAAAATCCTGGGTTTAGGGCTATCTATTGCCCCGTCTGTTGGCCCACGCGCGTCGTGCGACCCACTGCTTGCTGTTAGTTCTTTGCGGTTAGCGGCCTATGTACTTTCTTGTAGTTGTTGTTTACCGTTTTTCTATGCTATGTAATGCCTTTTCAAGTATTATGTTGTTCCATATTACCCATAATCAAGATACAAATGCGAGTAGTTAGAGAAAGGTCTTTATGGCGTGCGTGTGAGAAGAGCGCGAGGTCGGGCAAGACTCGGGGACTCGGGCACGCTGGTTGCGTAGTCGGTTGATGGGGGGGGAGGGTCAGTTGC